ACACACACACACGCACACACATAGAATCTACAAATGGTATACTTCTCAAGTAATTTTTCTAGAATCAAAGACATTTCAAAAAGTGCATAGTCCAAGTTTATTCCTTGGATTTTTCAGGCCTGACGCAAATATCGAGGCCAGGATTAAATGAACACTAGATGTAACCTCTGAAGCCAAAGGAACTCCAAGGAGAAGCTTGAAATGCACATAAAGAGTGGGAATCACATCATTTAGCCAGACTGAGAAGGTGGGCCTTAGTTACTCACACCAGTAGCTTTGTCCCACACCAGAAGCTGAGTCATCTTCTATTCTCAAGCTTTCCCTCCTACTGCCTCCAGCTCCTCAGATCTTCCCAGAAGGACTCAGAAAAACTCCCAAATTGCTCTATCCTGAGGTAGCTCTACCCCGTCTGCATAAATTCCCTCTGTGAAATTTAAGTTGAAATAACTTCTCCTAGTGATGATTTGTCCTTCCAGTTTGAAAATGATCAACATCTCTTCTCTCCTTTCTTTTCTTCCCAACTTAATGCCTTGCCTTTGGCCCGTTTTGTTAAGACTTACCACGTAGAATTAAATAATAAAGCCATGGGCCGGGCGCGGTGGCTCACGCCTGTAATCCCAGCACTTTGGGAGGCCGAGGCGGGCGGATCACAAGGTCAGGAGATCGAGACCACGGTGAAACCCCGTCTCTACTAAAAATACAAAAAATTAGCCGGGCGCGGTTGTGGGCGCCTGTAGTCCCAGCTACTCGGGAGGCTGAGGCAGGAGAATGGCGTGAACCCGGGAGGCGGAGCTTGCAGTGAGCCGAGATCGCGCCACTGCACTCCAGCCTGGGCGACAGAGCGAGACTCCGTCTCAAAAAATAAATAAATAAATAAATTAAATAAAGCCATGATAATTTATGAATGAAAGAATGACCAGTGAGTATATTGTGGTCTGTGTGCCAATGAAAGAAAGAGATGTCCAAAGAGAGATGAGTCATAGGTCAGAGAAACAAAAATAGAGTAAATTAGCGAATCTTAGAATATAGGCCAAGAAAGAAATTTAGCTCTTAGTATTTTCCCATTACCTCCTCCTCCCCTCTTTTCTTAAAAGTTAAGGAGACATTATTTTAAAAGTTAAGGAGACATTATTTATTTGTATTATCCCAGCCAGCCAGCAGGAGTCTGTTATCAGGTAAGGATTTTTTTTTTCCATGGTTTTTGTAATGAAAGTAACAAAACCCAACTCTACACAGCCTAAGCAAAAGAAACAAAGAAGATGGGGGCCGGACGCGGTGGCTCACGCCTGTAATCCCGACACTTTGGGAGGCCGAGGTGGGCGGATCACCTGAGGTCAGGAGTTCAAGACCAGCCTGGCCAACATGGTGAAACCCCATTTCTACTAAAAATACAAAATTAGCCAGGCATAGTAGTGTGCGCCTGCAATCTTAGCTACACGGGAGGCTGAGGCAGAAGAATTTCTTGAACCCAGGAGGTGGAGGTTGCAGTGAGCCAAGATCGCACGCACCATTGCACTCCAGCCGGGGCAAAAGGAGTGAAATTCCATCTAAAGGAAAAAAAAAAAAAGACCGATGAGGAGGGGACTTACTGGTTTAAATCACCAGGAATTCCAGAAGTGTGTATTTGTTTAAGCATAGCAGGAGCCAGGCATTTGAGCAAAGTTGTCAAGGCTCTTTGTCCTTCTTTCCATATTTTAGCTCTACGTGCCTTTGGTTGTCTTTATTTTCTCAATTTTCTTTGCTATAGCCGGGCTTCCTCTCTACTGAAAGCATGGTTACCTGAGGATCTGAGCTTGTAGCCACAGAAACTGAAATCCTTAAGAAAGAGAAACTTCATGGAAACGGTTTGATTGGCTGTGCCCATTTTTTGAACAATTTACTGTGAGCAAGAGGATCCAGTACCGTGATTGATCAGGTAGTCCTATGTCCACCCCTGTAGCCAGGGAGCAGGAGGGCATCATGTATGACAGCCCCTCAAAATCACAGGGACAGAAAGCCATTCCCCAGTGAGCACACAAAAATGACAGACATCCACTTCATTTTCCTCATATTATTTTTAATTGATTCTTAGGACTAGGCTTTTCCATTCCGATTGTGCACTACAGGACCTTGTGATTAGCAAGGGGGAAAATAGAAATATACTGCAACGTGGGAAACCTAATTTTATTTTCATCCTTTCCTATTTTAAAGGGCTAGATTATCAGCTCAGAGGGAAGGAGCGCATTATTTGCAGGTACCAGATAATGTTTTTTCTCCTTACTATCCTATGCACTATGTAATTATGTGGGGAATAACAGAAGCACTGGTGTTGTTTTATACTTAGAAATATGTGAAATAAAGTGACAAAATAAATATCTGAGGTATTTGCAAATACATTTATTTCCCCTAGATATAAGGTCAATATAAGGTACACTCAAACGATTTGACAATACAAGGAGATTTTGAAGGTGAGTTACTCTTTTAAATTTTATTATAAAATTTTCCATCAATATGCCAACTTCATCAGTTTGCTGTTGTCCTTGCTATCAAGAAACAAAAAAGTAGATTAATAGCCAGAAATTCATATCGGTTAATCTTTTTGATTCAACTATCCCTGATTTCAGTCTTTGAGGTATGTTTTCAGTTTTTGCAGTCATCAAAACAAGTGCCTGCAAACATTTTCAGATGAAATAAATCAATATTTTGGTCTTCTTCTTCAAGAAATTGCCAACTCTTAGGAATGGTCATTTTAAGGAAGGAGCTGCCCTCAGCCAGTCCTAAATTATTCTTTTCATTTGATCTAACCACACTTAGTTTAATCTGTCTATCTTCTTCAAATATAATTATTTGAAGAATAATTCAATCCCCACTCCAGCCTTTATTCATTATCCCAGCTTTCTCCAAAAATTACCTACTCTCCCACTTTGCCTCTACAATATTGCTCCAGCATCTCTTCCTCCATGGTACAATTGTATGCCAGAGGCTCTCCGGAGCTGACTGTGCACATCTCTTCTCAATGCAGCCTCTGGTGATGTCATGTTGGCAGCTTGAAATCTGCCACTGTGGCATTATTTGTGCCCTGCAGAAATTGGAAATTGTCAAATACTACAAGTAAAGGCTTTTTCTCTGAGTGCTGGTTGTTAAATATTTATTAGCACAATACTGTCCATGGAGCTAACTTTTGTCTTCACTGGCCACTCTAACAGCAGCAACATAGTGCATAACAGCCTGAGTTTGGTGTCAGATAAACTGGAGTTTGAGTTCTGGCTTACCTACTTAGAATTTGTGTGACACTGAGAAAGTTATTTCACCTCTCCAAGTCAGTTTTCTCAAATAAAATAATACATGCAAAGTCACTGGGACAGGAAAGTGCTGATTAACCTTAGTTGTTTCTCAATAGTTCTTAATCCTTCATGTCTAAGCCATAGAAAGTTTCGATTATCTATGACTGCAGTTGCATGTTATATTTGCTCTCTCCTTCACCATTAAAACCCCTCAAGTTTTAAAAAAGATCATCATCATATTTTGTTTAGTGTGTTTGGTAGGCAATGAATCCATATTAAATTCTGCTTTAGGGCATATTGGTAGAGTAAGCAGACAGTCAGGCATGTGTGCCCAGTGATGCTTGAAATGCATTTAACAGAGTATGAAGATATCAGTGACTAGTGAAGAGAACAAGAGATTAAGAGCAAGGATGCCTAAATTTCAATCTCAGCACACGGCATATAAAAACTACACAAATTCTGGGATTAGATAACTATAATTTTAAATCCCTGTTCTGTCTCTATCTGTGTAGCCTTCATCAACTTTTTGACTTTAGCTTCCTCTTCTGTTGAGTGCAGTTAAGAGTAGCTTTGTACTTACCCTGAAAAGTCGTTATGTGGGTCAAATGTATAAAAGAATGTTAAATGTGTGAATAGTAGTCTCTGAATAAAAGATGGCTATTATTCTTCCACTAGTTGATTGCTTGGTTTAATCTTCGTAAGCTTCATAGACTTTAACTATACCTATAAAAGAGGGCTGGTTTGGTGCTCTCTTAAGAGGCCTCCTTGTTCTGAATGAAATTCTTTGTACTTAAAGGCTTTTATTCTAGAAACAGAAGTCTTAATGCCAATATTCTTTGGAAAGTAAAAATCCCTTTTTTCCAGTTCCACTACTCCCAGCCCAGGCCCTCATCACCTCTCATGTCTATACAGCAAGTTTAAAACCAGTGTTCCTGCCATCTGGCTCTTCTCTTTATTCTCCAGACCTCCCCTGCTTATCTTAACACAGACAGACAGACAGACACAGACAAATTTGATTATGTCACTTCCTTTCTTTAAAATCTCTACTGGAATCATTTAATCTTCACAATGAAAGCTACACTTAATAGTAAGATCTATACAGTCCTTGACATTCTTGCCCCTAGTTGTATATTTGCCCCTTTTTAGTTTCACAAAACATATCACAGCACTCTGTCATGAACTTTACGCTTCACTCACTGTTTTCTAAACATAACATGGCAGCCTTTCTCAACAAATTACATATGTGGTTCCCTCAGCCTGAATGTACCTCCCACTCCCATCCCTTTGACTGGGTTACTCCCACTCATATTTCAAGACTCACCTCACATGTCAAATTGTCTGTTAAGCCTTTCCTGATCCCCCCAGGCAGTGTTAGTCACTGCTGCCACTATATTTCTACAGCTTTAGCACTTATCTCTTTGATATATTTATCTGTTTACAAGTGTGACTCCTCCACTAAAACAGTGACTCCTTAAAAGGGATGTACCACAAGTCCGGAGTCAGACTGTCTGGTTTACAACCCCCTGCATCAACACATTAGATGTGTGAGTTTGAGGAAGCTTCTTAGCTTCTTTAATCCTCAGTTTTCTCACCTACAAAATGGAACTAATATGCTGCTGATCTCAGATAATCCTTATAATATTGAAATGAAAAAAAAAATGCATGTAAAGCTCCTACCTCAATGTCTGGCATATATTAAGGGCTTAGTTAATATTACAAAAAATGATGATGATAAAGATGGCTATAATGGAAGAGATAGTAAAGCAGGGGGAGGAGAGAAGGTGATGCAATAGAAACCTCATTTATGTCTTTGGCATCTTGGCCTCTTTCCAATGTCTAGCCTGTAGTAAGTGCTCAGTGCATGTTTGCTGAATGAATGCTTGTGTGATACAACTTTACAACACAACCAAAATGTCAAATTCCAGCTCTTCTCTCATATCTGATTCAATGAAGTTGAATTAACTTTTGGGATGCCAGAAACTCAAGTTCTAACAAAGAGGAGAAATTAGATGAGGAAAAAAGAGTATGGGGGAGAGAAAATGGCAAGAGCTGGGTTGGAGGTGCAGAATATAAGTATACAAGTCAAACTATTCTCTTTCACAGCTTTGCCTCAGCATTTTGGTTGTTTTTATTGCTGGGGACTGAAATAGGCTTTAAAGAAAAGAGTGAAGATGTGCAGATTCCAAATCTAGACAGCAGCCCCATCATAGGCACCAACCCAGGGTCTAAAGACAGTCAAAGCAAAATTCCTTTGATGTGCTCGGAGAGCCTGCAGGCAAAATAGTAACTCAGCAAGGGGTTGGAATGCAAGTGGCATGGAATGAAAACGTGTTTTCCTGTTACAGGGTAGAAGAAGGGAGGGAAAGACAAACCTCACCAATTAAAGAAATCCTTGGATGGAAAGGATTGGAACATTGGGAGTGGAAGTCCACATTAGCGGAGTAGTATGTTCTGAAGGCATTTGAGCAGATGAAAACCTGATACACGGGACATAAAACCTGAGGAAGATTATTTCATGGGTACGGTAGAAACGGTGTCGGAGAGAGTAAATTGGGCAAGGGAGAAGAACGGAGGAGAGGGAGAGGGAAGTGCTGCTGAACTTATTTCAAAGAAGAAGAAAATGATCTCTTGTTTTTCATTAAATAATAGATGCTCTCCAGGCCAGAGTCAAGGCTGATTCTGTTTTGCGCTCAGTGGAGGAAAAACCAAACCAAACCAAAAAACAAAACGGGAAAAGATGAGCGTTTCCGTTTCCTCCTCCCTTCCTCCAACCGAGGTCTTCCTTCAGCCCCAGGGCCCGCGAGGGGGAGGCCTTTTTCCTCTGCTGTCCGAGACTTGCGTCCTTCCGGGGCCGGGAGCTGCCCGAGTTGCGTTTGGTCCCGAGATTGGACAGACAGGGAAGCTGGCTCAGCCTCTCTCTCCCTGGTTTTCTGTCTCCCTCGTTTTCTCTCTCCCTGGTTTCCTCTCTCCTCTTCCCTCCGCTCCTCTTCTCAGCGGGCACTTGCTCTCTCGCGTATCTCCGAACCCGGCGGTTCGGAGCAAGGGCCGTCGATACTTCTGGGGGATTGGGAGGCTTCCAAGTGGTACCCCAATCCTTCCTCTACAAGGAACCGTGTCTTTATGAGCGGAGAGTGATTTCGATGGCCGAGGACCCTTGTCCTGCATCCCGCGGAGCTGACCCAGGACCGCTGGGTGGGCGGCGCTCTAGCCCTGCACGCGCTGTCTCCCGAGCCTTCCAGGAGGAGGCTGGGGCACCACCCGCCGCTGGGAAAACTATGGCTCCTGCCTTGTATAGAGGAGATCTTGGTCAGGTTGTGGTCCACGTAGATCGTCCTGGGATTCTGTTCCTCCAAGTGAAAGGTCAAAGTTCTGCCTTGTTAATAAATAATAAGTTGCTGACTCATTTCAGGGAAGTGGACAGACTGACTTTGGTAAATGAGTGTCACAAATATGTTAAACAAAACTAGCAAATACAGGCCGGTCTCTTGCCATTATCATTGGCAAGGCGAAGTCCAAGGTTTTCCCATATATTTTCCTGGGGATATTCCTCGTACCTTCCACCCCAATCAACCTGTATTATAAATGGCACTGTATTCTTGATAGTGTTGTTTAGAAACGATGATTGCACTTAAATCAACAATCTAAACCTACATTAAATTAAATACAACTGTTTTTAGTTAAAAAGAAATCCTCAGCAATCAAGAATGCATAACTTCGCAAAGGCTAATAATTGAATTGCTCCTCTAGAAACTGTGAACAGGGTTGTGAAATGCATGACTACAGCTGAGTGGATTGCACAGTGAAAGGTCTGTTCAAGTCTTAGGGCTTCTGGGGGAGTGTTTTGTATTTAGGTGAGAATGCTGATCTCTGCACAATTGATACATAGAAAGTAATTGAATTGATGTGGGAAACAAAATCATAAGAAATCCTTTGGCAATATCTGAAAGGTAGCATTTAATTCTCTGTCATTCAAGAAAAAGGAGCAGTTCAGCTTTCAAAATGTATCCACATTATACAGTCAGCCAATAAAGTATAATCCCCATTCAAGCTATTAGAGTACAACATAGGGTGACAGTGGGATTTTTAGCTTGGTTAAAGCAAATAAAATACTGTAGAAGGAATGAAATCAAACTTGTTGAAACTTGGATTTGCAGAAATATAAGGCAGCTTGGAGAAGATGAATTCAGGTGGAAAATGACCTTTTGATTATGTTCAGGAAGACATTAGAATGTCAGGAGAAACGCTGGAAAGGAGATTTATTACCATAAGCACAGTTGACAAGTTCCATTTCGTCAAGTCTCTTGGATGGAGGAAGGAAACCAGCATTTCAGGAGGTGATTAAAAGAGCTCTGCAAAGTCTTCAGTAATCCAGGGAGACCCAAATATAGAAGAATTCTGTTGCCCCTAGTCTCTTTAGAGACTCGAAGAACCCTGTTCTTGGGTTTCCACCACAGATATGCTTATTCCTTGTCAGAAAGTTTGTACTAGATACGTTTTATGAATTATAAGATGGACTGGACCAACATATGTGTGTATCTTACTTTAAATAGAAAATTTCTCCCATCCCCTCTTCCTTATTTCTCTTTCTCTGTATTTGTATTTTTACATAAGTATATATGTATACATGTGTGACTATATATGTATATATGTATAAATATATAAATATAAATATATATATATATATACACTGCATATACTCTTTTACATTTTGAAGTCTGCCTTCACATTCAATGACTCATTGGAGACACACATCTACTTTTTTGTGGTCAACAGGTCTAATATTAGAATTTCCATTTTAAAGATGAGGAAATGAGGATAAAATAAGAGAAGTGATGTGTCTAATGTCCTTTTCATTTTGCTACAAGACCTTTCACAATATTTGTGATTCATAAGCATGAACTAAATCCACGTGAGCCTCAACACATTCCCCTTTCATGACCATTTTCCTTCTCTTCTTTTCAATTTACATATTTGGTTAAAATCCTGTACAATTTCAAAAATTCTGCATATATACCAACTTTCTTTGCTTTATTTTTCTCATTAGCCCTTATGACTATTTAACATACCTTAAATTTTGCATATTCATCTGTTTTGTGTGTGCCTTTCTGCCACGGAAAATACACTCCAAAATATAGGAAATTATTTTTAGGGGTAATTATTTTTAGGGGTAGGGGAATACTATTTTCTGCTGTGCCTCCAGTGTCTAGAAAAGTGCTTCACAAATAGTAAACACTCCATAAATATTTGTTAAATCAAGCCGTGCCTGAATGACTCCTTACAAATTGTCCATTTGGATCTAATTACAATCTTTCTGCCAATGCTTTCTGTAAGGAAAGAGTGGTATTAATTACTTGCAAGAAAAATAATGAAAGTAAGCTCATTGCTAGACTCTTGATACTTGATGGGGAAAACGAAATTCTTTCTTTGTTTTCCTTAGTTCTTTCTGACTATTAACAAAATGCAGTGTTTGGAACCTCATGTGACATGGCCAAATGATGCTTCTGCTAAGGCAAGAAAATTTTTTATGAGTCTCATGTCTTTACTGTCTCCTACTCCCCATCACCTCGCTCTCATGTGTATATAAACTTCAGGCAATATCCCTTGTCTACGACCAGCCAGGAATGTATTTTTCCTGGACCAGTGCCTTGCACTTACAATCTTTCCAGACTTTTCCCTTCCTCATTAAGTTTTACCTGTCCCTTTTCCCATTTCTTCCACTGTCTACTTTCCTTATTGTTTTAGCTTCCAAGATAATACATTTCAATTTTGTTAGAATCAAATAGCCTCAGAATTGGATGGACACACAGTACGGTTTTTCTCTCAGTACAGCAAATCTTTTTTTACAGGATTGACAAGTGAGAAGCAGTGTAGGTGAGAGCTCACTCTCTGGACACAAGACAGATGTGCTTTCTGCCTTTTACAAAGTTTAACCTTTTAAACTTCAGACTCTTCATGTAGAGAATAATGACAAAGCAGTTCTCATCTCCTAGGGCTGCTGTGAGGGTTAAATGGGAAAATACAGTCAGAGTGCATGGAATAATTCCTCGTCAGTAGTAAGCACTAATAGATATTAATTAATACTGGTAACATCCTTGATAAATTATCTTTCAGATTCCATTTCAGTGTCATCAGTATTGGGGAAGGAGACCACTACTTTCTTGAGTTAATCAGTTCTTTGTAAGATAAATCGTCCAACTGCTATTAAGATTCTTTGTCATAGCCTAAATCTATTTCCTTATAACTTCTGTCCATTGGTTCTTGGTGTTTACTTAGAAAAATATAGATCAAATGTGTGTCATCTCTTTGATAGGTCAACATTTAAGATTTTTAAACAGAATTATTATGGCCTATCAACATCTACTCCATTGCAACCTAAGATTTCCCAGTCACACCAACTGTTGTATGTGTATATATATATACATACACACACATATATATATAGTGGTTTCCCACCCTAACACCAACCTGACTGCTCCTCTTGTGATAAACTCCAGTTTACCTGTGCGCCTCTTCAAGAGTAGCATTGAAATTTGATGCAAGAACCCAATTGTTATCTAATGAGTACAAGCCACAGGGGAGATATTATCTCTCAAGTTCTGGACATTGTATTCTTAATGGAAGCTGAGATCTCATTAGATTTCTTAGCAACCTTGTCACACAGTTGGGGGCATGTCTAGCTTGTCAACCAAAAGTTAGAACTCCATGTCTCTTTCACATGAATCACTGATAAACTAGCCTGTTCTGTACATGAGTAACTAAGAATGTGTCTAACACCAAGGTCTAGCATTTTTTCCCACTAAATCTCACTAAGGAAACTTCTGGAGACAATACCTTCAACCTGCTCTTCACAGACTTTCTTTTTCCCTTTCAATACTTATGAATGATGGTATTCACAAAAACTACAAATGCCCATAGGCACACCCATGATTATTTGGAATTCTCATCTGCCAGTTGTAACTCCACCCTTTACTCTTCTGTGGAAAAAAAGCATATCAGAACTCAAATGAGTCAACTAATGAACTAAATTCAAAAAGCAATGGCCTAAAGCTTTTTGAAGAACTTAAGTGAAAATCTCTATTATATTGGGGAAGAAAAGAATTTCTTATGCATTGTCAAAACAAGAAACAAGGCACAAAAATAAAGAAGAATCTAACATATTTGACTTCATTCGGATAAAAACATCACCAATATATCATAAAGAGAATGAAACATATTTGCAAAAAATGTAATGGACAAAAGACTAGCGCATTCACCCAAATTATAAAGAACCCTTCTAAATTACTAAGGAAAAGATAATGAAATAGAGAAACGGCCCAAAGACTAAAACATGTACTTCATAGAAGAAGAAATCAAATCGAGCAAAAATCACGTGAAAAAGATTAGCAGTCAGGGAAATGTAACTTAACACTCAGTGAGATAGCATTTGACGCTCACTAAACTTATAAAAATGAAAATGACTACTAATGCCAAATGTGAAGGAAAAGTTACAATAATGAGAACTCATGATCTGCTGATGGGTACGGTTTTATTTAACATAACAAGAGTTCCAAGTGAATGGTCCAGTTTTAGAAATGGCTTCTTCTACACAATCATTCAAGGATCAATGATTCTTTTATCACATTACTTGGTCATTTTTTAGGTATTGTCTATTTTTGCATGTTCTATCAGCTGGATTGCAGGCATGTCTGTGTCCCAGAGTATGGGAAGGGGAGAGAGAATACAGAAAGTATATATCAATTTTTTAAGGCCTAGACCAGAAAATGTCTTACCTCCTTTTCACGAGACTCCATTAGCAAGAACTGAGTCACACGGCCACAAATGACTGTGAGAAGGCTTATAAATGTCTTCTCCAGCCCTTTATTTTTTATGAAATAAGAAAGGAGCAGATAGTAATGAGCAATTCTATTCCTAGAGATTTGTTTCCAAATGTGGACTAGGAGTTGTTGTTCAAGAACAACATTCTTAGAACATAGAAGCATTGTTTTTGTAACTAAAAAAACCTGGAAATAATTCAATTACCTGTCAACAATAGACTGAATAAATGAATTGGGGTATACAATAAAGACTATATATAGCCATGAAAATAAGATAGTGTTATAAATCAGTATAGATTAATGCTGTAGCTATGCTAAAAGATAAGTCAAAAATATACACAGGATGATACCATTTGCATAAAATTAAAACGGGAAAAAATTGACAATATAATATTTAACGATATCTATACAGATGATAAGCTGAAGACCAGTAAGATAATGAAACTACAGAAGTCAAGATAATGAGTCACTGTCTTTTGAGAGGAAGGAAGGAGGTGAGACTGGGAAAGGCACTCAGTACAGGCTTTCCCCTATTTCCTACTTAGAGGTGATGACATCAGAGTATTTCCTGCATTTTAAAATGTACAGATATGTTTGCTATAATTTTCTGTGTATATATTGAACAACAAAACTTTTTCTAACAAAACAAATTTAAAAAGTAAAAAACTTTAAAAATCGTATATTTTCAGTATATAAGAAGCTACTTGTGACATGCAATTGGCAACACAAGTATCAAGACAACATAATTGTTGTTTTCCTACAGGATGAATTTTCAGTGGAAATTTCAGCTATTCTGGGCCCTACTTCGGTGAAGATATTTTGGGGATGTTGAAGAATGGGTGCTTCTTCCATCACATGATGCAGGCTCCTTCTTTCTGTCTTCCATCTTCTGGGTAAGTCAATTCATTCTGTGCCCACTTGCATGCAAATCATACAACAGTGAACAAATTTATTCAAGCATATAAAAACATTTCCGATTTTAAAAAGTAGCAAGCTACAGTGGACTGAATGTTCGTGTCCCCCAAATTTTACATGTTGGAATCCTAATTCCATACACAATGGGATTGTATTTGGAAGTGAGGCTTTTGGGAGGTAATTAGGTCATGAAATGGAGCCCTCATGAATGAGGTTAGTGTCCATGCAAAAGGGACCACAGAGTGCTCTCTTGCCCTCCTTTGCTACGTGAGGAAATAAGAAAAGGGCAGTCCACAATAGGAAGAAGGCTCTCCCCAGGACTCACCACACCAGCACCCTGATCTTGAACTCCCAGTCTCTACAACTATAACAAATATAATTTTTTTTTCTTGACTTTAAGCCACCCAGTCTGTGGTACTTTGTCATAGCAGCTCAAACTGTGACAAAAACATATGTCAGTGTTCTCATCAATTCCTTCAATGCAGCAGAGTGATAAGAATATGGTTCTAGAATCAAGGTGGCTGGGTTAAGATCTTGGTTCTGCTCTGTCACCATAGACAACCTTCTTAAGATATCTAAGCCTCCATTTCTTCATCTATAAAATGATAATTTAAATAGTACCAACTCTACAGGGATATTGTAAGGAATAATATAATATATAATGATTTTACACGTGCCTATTTTATAGTAGGTGCTTTAAATGTTGTTAAAAAGTACAACAATAGAAATTCTTTTCAGTTAGCAATTGGTTAATACCAAGATAGTAGAAATATCACATACTGCATGGCCAAATATAGTCTTTTAAATTTTGTGCAAAAGCTAGTTCGAACATGTGGTAGCCTTGGTATGTAATGGGCACTCAATAAATCTTAGCTCCCATTTACTGTAAGGTATTCAGAAACTTTGTCCTGTTTCTTTCAATATGTTATTACCTATGAGTCTAGTAATTAGAGGGAAAAGTTATAATTAGGACATAGGCTAGAGAAAGTCAATATCTCTATGGTGTTGTGAGTTTTTGTCTTAAAATTTTTGCTGTCTTGGAGTTCAGACTTTTAAGTGGTCAATGATGTAAGATAAAATTATGCAAAATTAAATGGGATAACTATTTGTAAGTTTCTAGTACTGTAACAGCATGTTATAGGAACTTAGTACAGTTAACTTTTTTCCTCATTTGGAGTTGCTTTAGATACTGCATAAAACATTGTAAAATATATCCTTAATATATTTTTGTCTTTGGAGTTTGAGTCTGATTTTTGGAAATAGCTAAAAGCCACTCAGAGCCAAGTATGGTGAATAATGTGAGTGAACAAGTTGTATAATACCATTTTTGGTAAAAAATGAGGTATTATAAAATTAATGAGACTTTTTCTTGTATGGTTTATAAACTGGCTCTGAAGGCAATTCTAAAAACATGTTCCACACATGGTTTAGGCAGTGACAGTATCTTTGGAATAATTTTAAAGACTGCTTTTTATCTTGTCAGGCCATATTGACATCAGCCATATGCAGTACAGCTATATTAGTTATTAAAGTGTTGAAATAATTCTCTACTTATTAAAAGCCTTTGTCTTGAATTCCCCTAAATATGATTCCTCCAACTGCACAGCTGCTTCAGCCTCTAGACTAGGTTAACCTGTGGTATGCAAGGGGTCTCTAACCCTGTTTTAATACTACAGCAGTATTGATTCTGATTGGGATGTAGAGCTATTCAGTTTGCTAATTATTTTGAATGTCACTACTGCCTGTCATATTGTCTCACCAGCAATTTTATTGCCTTGGCATTACTCATTTGGATGTTAAGCATGGGCAGCTTGAAAAACATCAACAACAATAGCTTTCTGGGATGACTAGAACAGAAAATTAGTCGCTCTTCTCTGAAATACCTGATCATGGTAGAAATTCTGTTCTTAATCAGGTGCTACATGAAGCAGATTAAGACTTCATATACCTCATGTCAATAAACAAATGCTTTGTCACTGCAGGATAGACAGAAAATAAACCTGAATACTTCTAGAGTTATTTCCAACAACCTCATAATTGTTAAAGCATTCTAATTCCAGTGATAATTCCATGGGATTTCTAGATATGATAAAAAAAAAAAAGTAGAATAAATTCCTTGATGCATATAAGGCAGATATTACAGATCAATCAAATCTAGAGATGTGGTTGGAAAAAAAATCTTTACAAATCCATTTAGACATTTATGGTCCATTTACTTTCACAATTTTCAGTTGTTCCCCATTGTACTCATTTCGTTGATATTTTTATTGGTCACAAAATGGTGATTGCTTTATTTTTGTCATAAAATCCCCACCTTACTGACAATTTTCGATTAGAGTTTCACTTAGCATTAATTGAAATTGCTAGCTATTGACATCATGTGATCATACATTCAGGTTGCTGCAGCAGTTTACCTACAAAAATCCCAAAGAAGTCTTTTAATGACGTTAACACTGTATTATAAATGGCGAGTTCATGACTTTTTTTCCGTATGTTTTAATGTTGGAGGTGGGGCCTGATGGAATTGTTTATATCACTCAGTTCACATGAGATCTGGTTATTTAAAAGTGTGTGATACCTCATTCCCTCTCTCCTGCTCCTGTTCTTGCTATGTGATGTGCCTGCTCCCCCTTTGCCTTCCAGCATGATTGGAAGCTTCCTGAGGCCTCCCTAGAAGCAGATGCTGCTATGCTTCCTGTATAGCCTGCAGAACTGTAAGTCAATTAAACCTTTTTTCTTATAAATTACCCGGTCTCAGGTATTTCTTCATAGCAGTGCAAGAATAGCCTACTACAGTGAATAAGGGAACTATCTGGGTATAGAAATGACATTCCTGAAATAGTTTCATCAGTTAAAATTTTGGAACTCTTGGCTGCAGGGCCTGTGGTAGCCATGCCAAGAGTGGGGTTTAAAGCAGTCAAGCGCCCCATCCCTCCCCACTTAATTTTTAACTTGTGAGAACTAGATGGCAAACAATATGCACAGGTTTGGGGTCTCTTTTTTTAAGATCTCTCTCATTTTAAGAAAAAGAGACACTTTACAAGCTAAGGAATGAAACAGTGTGACAAAAATGCCAAAGTCCAGACTGACTCTTTCCCACAATGCTTTGAAATAGCTGGTGTAGACTAATACAACACGGAGAAATAAATGGAAACAGAAAGATTATTTTATGTATATTGCCATAAAGGCAATAAATAAATACTTTGCTTGGCTTAGAGTCTTTGTTTCAAAGTCATGGAGCCCAGGCAATAATATAGTTCTCAACACAGCGGCATGCGGAAGTACTGTGAAGCACTATGCAACTTTGCTGGTTTCTTCTCTGGGATACAAATTTCATGTTTATTTTAACAGGTAATAGTTTCATAACTGAAAAAAGAATCAAGCAGAATTGTATTAGTTATTTATTGCTCTGTAACAAATTACCCCAATACTTAGTGTGCTTAAAACAAAAGTAAACATTTGTTATCTCCCTGGGGGCCACAGTTTGAGGGTGGCTCAGCCATACTGTTCTGACCCAGGGATTCTCATGAGACTGAGTCAACATGTTGGCTGGGACTACCCTCAGATGGAGGCTGGGCCTGGAAGATTTGCTTCCAAGACGGCTCACTTACATGCCTGGCAAGTTGGTGGTGCTTGTTGGGAGAGGCCTCAGTTTTTCCCTGTGCTGGCCTCTCTATTGTGCAGCTTGACTTTCCTTGTGACACGGCTGCTGGTTTTGTTCAGAGTGAGCAAACCCAGAGAGGAGAGATGGTAGAAGCCATGATTTTTATAACTTTGCCTCAGAAGTCACATTCTGTTACTTCTTCAATATTCTATTGCCAAACACATCAGTCTTATCACTCATTGTGGGAGGGAACTATGTAAGGACATGAATACCAAGAAAAGATTACAGCCCAGTGCGGTGGCTTGAGCCTGTAATCCCAGCACTTCAGGACGCTAAGACATTAGGATTGCTTATATCCAGGAGTTCCAGAACAGCCTGGGAAACGTAGCAAGACCTCTTCTCTACAAATGACGTGTGCCAGTAATCCCAGCTACTCGGGAAGGTGAGGTGGGACTATGTGTGCATGTAGTCCCAGCTACCCAGGAGGTCTAGGCTGCAGTAAGCTGTGAATCATGTCACTGTACTCCAGCCTGGGCAACAGAGTGAGACTCCGTCTCAAAAGAAGAAAAAAATATATATATAATTTTGGGAATCATCTTGGAGGCCAGCTACCACAAATATGAAAAACTTCAATGTAAATAGCATGCACTCAAGGGCTGAACAATGGTTATATTTTGTCTTCAGTTCTCCATCTTCCTTATAGATTTCATTAATATTGTATCTACTAACATGACCTCATTTAATTCCCACCACAAAGAACTGTAAGCAAGACAGATTATTGATCTCATTTTCACATGAACAGATGGAGGCTTAGAGTGATAGGTAATTTATACATACTAGATTACACATCTAATAAGTGATTGAATTAGGAGTCCAATTCACTGCCACTCATTGATTTCTATTTAACACAATGCAATAAAAGACAAATAAATTGGCAGACTGCCACTATTTAAGTAATAAAGTATACATAGAAAATAAGGTGGAGTTAGAGGGTTTATGCTCATGTCTTAGATACTACTCAGATCTTGCTTGAATTTCTCTCAAAATTAACAACCCTAGCTGTTAACACCTGAGCTAGACTAGTTTCCAATGTCTAAGCAGTAGCTTTGTTTGCTACAAACTTGATTTTGCCCAGTTCTTATCGTCTTGGATACCAAGACACTCACTTAATTTAAGTTTATGAACAATTGATAGATGTATCAAAATTCTAGTAAATTCAAATTTACTTATATATGAAATATAATTATCAGGCCAATTAGGTATTTGCTTTGATCTAACTAGCACATTCTGCCTCTCTGTAGGAAATTATTTAGTTAATTCTGTCAGCTGGTATAATCTAGATGATGCTACTGTGACAGTCCCCAAATT